CTGTCACATTTGTTGTAGATCTGGTCATAGCTTAAAAGAGCCCTCTGCTTTAAGATCATTCATGAGGCTGCAGTTCATGGTGTTGACCAGAGCGGAAAGCTCGATGGGGAAAAGATGATCTTTCACATATCCTGTACTGGATCGCTGGTAGCATTGGTTCCTTTGCTACCTTTGCTGAATTGAGGAACTCACGAGCTGGCTGTTGTTGTCCAGCAGAGACTCTCCATTCCATGCCACATGGGCCTCACCAACATGACAACCTGCTCTGTGAAAGCTGGCAAGGGGGGCTTCTCCCAGCAAAACAAAAGTCACAGTCTTTTGCAATCATGAGAATGATATCTCAACACTCTGATATATCCTATTGGTTTGAAGAAAGTTATACTTCCTTTTGAGGGGAGATTACACAAATATGTGCATATTAGGAGAGAAGGATCATTTTTGAGTTTGTCTGCCACATACCTAGAGGGAATGGTGAGCTAACTAATAATGAAGCCAGCATTTTAGCACAGGGAAGTTACAGAGGAAAGTGAGGCACAAATGGTTTGAAAACCAGACTATCTATAACAATACAAATACAGATCTCTGGTTTATATATTTTGGATGAGTCTCTAAAACAATGAATGATGAAGATGCAGGCTTTGGTATGTGTGTGGTGGTTGACTTCTACCCAAGTTAATTTTTTTCAACTTTACAAACAAAGGGATTTCATGCAATTATCTGAACTTCTAGGAACTTTAAGAAAAATAATCAGAAGGTAGGATGCTACAGTTTCCTCTATTATCACATAGCAAGAGCTGTTGACTAGAATGAGGTAATAATTTATTAACAATGTGCTTGTCTGTTGCCAACAACTCCCTGTGAAACACTTCCTGTTACTGGCATGGGCATTAGCTGGAGGTATTTGGCTTTGCTGCCAATGCCAGAATACAGTAGGGTTGAGAACAGAATAGGTAGCACACTTATGTGGTAAATTAAAAGTTGGTTCTCCTATATAATTAATGTGTATCACATTTTTTGAATATTTATAAATCTGTTCATAGATATTAAACATTCCCTTCCCAAAGTGATATTGTGAACAAGTTGTAGACAGCTGAGAACAGCGGATGGCTTACTTTATTATCCCCACCTGAGTGAAAGCTTCCTGCTTATCTGCTAGCTACCTGAACTGCAGTTACAACACCTGGGGGGCACAACTCTTATGATTTATTCCTTCATTTATCAAATTAACATATATTCTGTAAAATGGACACTGCATTAATAAATCTAACTGTAATGATGAAAAGTATAAAATATTGATATGCTTATAATTTCAATACTACCCCTTGGCACAGGGGGTCCCCAAATCCTATGTCCATGGCCTGTTAGGAACCAGGCCGCACAGTAGGAAGCGAGTAGCAAGTGAACAGCAAAGCCTCACTTGTGCTTACGATTGCTCCCCACTGGTCAAATTACTCCCTCAGCTCTGCCTCCTGTCAGACCAGGAGCAGCATCAGATTCTCACTGTGAACTGCTTATGTGAGGGTCTAGGTTGTGTGCTCTTATGAGAATCTAAAGCCTGATGATCTCAGGTGGACCTAAGGTGGTGATGCTAGTGCAAGGTACAGAGCAGTTGCAAATACAAACTAACATTAGTAGGGAGGTTTAACTGCACAGACAGCATAATAAACCAACAGCTTGCAGACTCATCAAAAATCGTCAGTAGCGGGGCATGGCGGTGTATGCCTGTGATCCTAGCATTCCACTAAACAAGCAGTGGGATCACTGCATGTTTGAGGCCAGCCTGGGCTCTAAGTGAGTTAAAGGCCAGCCTGAACTGCACAGTGAAACCCCGTCTCAAAAAAGACAAAACCCAAAACAAAACAAAATAGTGTTAGTGAACAGCAGGGGTCAACTAAGCTACACCTGTGGAAGGTTTACAGTGGCAGGTGAATTTATGAGCTTCAATTGTACAACTCCATCTGGTAGCAAGCTCCTTCTTAAAATCTGACACTTATTTTAGTTCATGCATGGGCCACTGATTATTTAATTTGCCACTTCCATTAACACCTTCTTTCTGCACTGCACTCTTGTCTCTATTACAGTTTTGATAAGTCCCCAAGCTAAAGCTAGCTAAAATAAACATCATTAGAGAGATTCTTTGAAAAGGTAGAAAGGCCAATGATGAGCCAGCAGAAGACTCCAAGACTGCAAAATAAGCTACATTTAAAAGAAAATGCTTCATAAGTTAAAAATCCTACCTGATTACAGGTTCACAGCAACAGGCGATTCACAATCTCCAAACTCTTCTTCTGTAATGTGATGTTTGGATACCCAGTGAAGCCATGAAAACCTTTAAATCTGCCTCACCACATGGAGATCAAGCATTCTGCATTTAGAAGAGAAGCCTTGGGAGTTTTTCAGAAGAAAAAAAAATGTGAATCCAAAAAACAGAAGCAATTATTGAAGGCCACCACTTCATCAGATGTGTCTGCCCTGCGAGCACCATTCTTAAAGACTAGCCTAAAGAAGCCTAAACCTAAGAAGACCCTTACTTTTGGTGAAGGACTGACCTGCCTACTGCTAAGGGCATTTGTCATGAACTTTAAGGTAGACTGCAGTTCCAAAGCATGTGTTCCTCTTTATCACCATAACTAGACAAACTCATGGAATAGCAGAGGATGGTGAGCCACAGTTGTTAGACAACTACTGTGTCACTGAGGTATGCAATCCAGGTTGACAAGTCTAGGGATGTTGACAAGGCAACTATATTTGTTTTCGTGTGATGTGTTTTTAGGAAGATGTGCATGAAGATGGGTTATGTGCACTGTTGTTGTCAACTAGCATCACAGCTGCAGAACTGCTGAATGAAAATGGAATTGTTCATTTTGTGACAGTATATGGTGGAATGGAGCAGATGACATCACTGGGCAGCTTTCTGGCTGCACTAACTTGGGTAAAAGAAGTCTTAATGTGAGTCTGTGTCCTGTGTTATCCATATAGAAATGCTGGATAGCTGAAAAATGGTACCTAAACTTAACATTTTGCAGGATGTGATGAAAATTATCAACCTCTTTAAAGAGCACACCCTGAATTTATATCTGTTCATGCAGCTCTGTGACATGGATGCAGAGCACCCATCTACACCAAAGTGAGAGAGCTTTCTAAAGGTAGATCGCTGGCCAGAAATGTTGTTATAAAAGCACTTCAGAGATTTCTTTTGGAAAAAAAGTCACCACAGGCAGCACATGTCAGTGACACAGGTCACAAAAGTTGGCTCATTCATGTGACATATTTAACCTGTTCAGCAAACTAGAATTACAAGAGCAGCTGTGAACACTGCGAGTTTTTGATGTTTCAAACATTAGTAGAGATTTTGAAAGAGACTGAGCCTTCTGTCTCCCACCTGATGCATGGCCACCTATCTCAGCACTCCAAAGGGTGAGAATTACTTTCCAACCACAACACCAAGCTGGAAATAAACCTAGGGCCCATCTGTGAACAGGCAGGTAAGCTGATTTTATGCTAGAAGAGGATCAGCTGCTTAAGATCACAAGTGATGGTGGGCCTTAAAGGTATGTTTGAGGCAATTTCAAATTTCTAAACATTCTGGATTAAAGTCAAGGTGGACTATCTTGATCCTACCACAAGAGCACTGAAAATTCTGTTTCCACCATCCCATCTGCAGTGACAGCAACCAAAACAAGATTATAGAACAGATTGGACACAAGCAACAGACTTTGGGTGTCACTGTTTCCCGTGACTCCAAGATTGGAATGTCTAGTTGGGAGGAAAACAAGCTCGGGGGTCCACTCATACTGCATTGTGCTGAGTTGTATAATTATTTCATTTTATTGTACAATGTAACAATAAAGTACACAATAAGTGTAATATATTTGAATCATCCTGAAACTACATCCCACCCCCCATTTTTTGGTCCATGGAAAAATTGTCTTCCACAAAACTGGTCCTTGATGCCAAAAACTTTGGGGATAATTGCTTTAGCAAATCTGTGGTGTACATGAAAACCTGGTTTCTGCCACTTGTACATTTTTTAGATTGCCTTGGCTCAAATCCCTTTATTTATATAAAACTAGATTGACTCTGGGTCATAAACATTAGGTGGCTGCTTTTAAATTACCATGTAATTGTATAACACCTTTTTAAAATCGCAAATAAATTTAAGAAATGTTATCATATTTAAATATATATAAAATATATAAATATGTTAAATATCATTGAGACTTTGGCCATTGGATAATTTAAACTGGTGCTTTCATTTTTGCAAATTCTTAGGAGCATAACATAAACTAGGAATGGTATTTCTCATTACAGTCCCAGCTGGTAATTCCAATTGTCCCATGATTTCACAGCTGCAAATCAGCCCTACCCACTCACATTTGTTTTGGGCTAATGATGCTTTCCTTAATTAGCACATGACTTAAGCTTTCTTCCTGACTTATCTGTTGCTTTGGTCCTTGGGCAACCTAAGTACAGGATGGCCTAATCTGGAAAGAAAGCTGAAGAAGCAAGGATGCTATTTGCTGAAGCTGCTTGATTGACTTCCCTCCCATAATTTAGTCTCACGTCTAGCTTTGTACCTGTGGTATAATTTTCATTTTTATGGTTCTTAAAACTTCTCCAATTGGGAATGACCCAAGCCACAAGGAACTATAGTCTGTCTACACCTAAGAATGTCTGCAGGATGTGATTTGAGAAGCGGGAAGGTCCCCCTTTGTGAGCAGCAAGTCATACTTCATGCTACTGTTCTTTTATTTTGCCTTAAATTGCCAAAACCCATCATTCCCTAGTGATTAAGACACAAATTTGAATGTTTTGCCCAATAAGTTTATGCCGAAATCCATGTACATTAGAAAGCATATTTGAAGAAGTGTGATTTTGGCATTATGTGGTTATCACTTGAGTTTTAGGTCAATTTTCTTGAAAAAATTCAGTATTTTCTGAAGAGCTGAAACACAGAAAATGAAGTTTCTTTTTATTTTTCAAGTAACAATGTACACAGTCCTCCCGGGAAATATAAAAGTAGCACAAAATCCACTGCCATGGTTTTGGGAGATAATTTGTATGCTGCCACAAATTTATGAAACAGTTACTAATGCCCTTTTGTTACATGTGAAGTGCTGAAAATAGTTCAGAAATCTCTCATGCAGGACAGAGGCCTAGAGTTTAAAGCGTTAAGTCAGCTCTATCATGAGCAGAGGCCCAGTGTTTGGTAGAGACAAGAAACCAGCTGAAAGATTCACTTTGCGCAATTGAGGACAAGGGCTGAGACTTTTATCTCATGAGAACTAGCTGGTCCTTACAGATGTCTAAAAAAAGACGTAGCACGATGAAACCGTTGTGAGAACTGTTGACAGCAGGTTTGAGGTAGGAACCATGGGGGGGGGGACTGGTTAGGCAATGGGCAGAAACCTAAATTTGCCTGGGGGGCAAGTAGGAATGACTACAAAACAAGTGAAATTTGTTTTTATTTAAATGCCTGGGCATGGAACATTAGTGAGTAGGAAGGACAAAGTCATGAGGTTTCTAGCCTGACTCAAGCCAAAGTGGGAGAAGGGAGAATCAGGTGACTTGGTAAAGGGGAAAGCCCCGGGTTTCAATTAGTACAATCATGGAATCATGAGATGTTAAAGCAGGAAAAAGACCTTCAAAGTCATCAATTCTAGTCCCTTTTAGGAGGGCAAGTAAAGCAAAGGGAGTGAGATGCAGTCAGGGCCCTGAGCAGGAAGAGCAATAGGGTCAGGAGAACCCAACCCTTCCTGCTCTACTGTCGAGCTCTGTACAGTGATTCTCAAGTTCACCAGGACTTGACTGTAGCTAATTAGAACAAAAATAAATAACGATTTTAAAAAAGCCCTCGGCTCTTTTTCTCCTATTTTGGGCATTTTCAAAATACAACTATTGAGGGTCATTTCTTTGCAGGATGACAAATTATGTGTGAGCTCTTTCCAAGGAATAACAGTTGGGAGTAAAATGTAGCCACAAAGCCACAAAACACCGTCTTCCCATCTATGTCCCGACCCACTACGTCAGATTACAGCTATTTTTTTTTTTTTTAAATCACAGTTCTTTTCAAACCGAAGTGGACCCGCGTCCAAGGGACGGATTCCTGCCTCCCGGCAGCATGCCGGATCGCCGCTTCTCCTCTCCGGGCACAGCAGAGAGGACGCGGCTAGCTCTTCCGTGATCTGGCCAAGCGGTGTTTGTTCAATCCTCAGTTATATGTAAATTATCTTCAAAAGCGACGCCGAGCCTCCTCTCTGACTGGATTACCTCGCGGAGAATGTCTCGGTCTCCGCACAGTCACAGCCCGGTGCAGGCACCGAAGCAAGGCCCTGGGCCAACGGCGCCGGCCGGCGGGGAGGGGAGAGCGCAGACGGTGCGCAGCGACGCGGCCGGCTTCTCCCTCACCCTTGACCAGACGAGCAGCTCTCTTTGGGCCTATGTCCTTTGAAACCAGGACTCTAGACTTCTTCAGAGAATGCAAGATTCTAAAATCGAACACGAAAAGGTACAGCAAAGGCAGAGTTACACTCGGCGTGAGGGAGCAATTGACTTCCACCGCCGGCGCTCCGCAACGACGCCGCGGGGGTCAGAGGGCGGCGTGCGCGCCCCCGCAGAGCCCTGCGTGCGCGACTCCGTGGAGCAGGCCTTCGCGGAGCGGCCAGGACGGGCCAGTGGGCGGGGCACAGCGGGGCGGGGCTCGGGAGGAGGAGGAGGCCGCGGCTGAGGAAAGAAAAGGCGGCGGCCCGGCAGCGACCCGGAGAGGTACGGCGGAGGCGAGTCGGCTAGGGACTGGGTGCGGGCGTGGGCGGCTCCTGACAGCGCAGAGCGGCCGGACCCGGTGGCCAGAGCCTGGGCCGCGGTGCTGCCGCGCGGCCGGTGAGTGTCCAGGGCCGCGGCGGGACGGGTGCGGCCCGCGGCGGGGGTGGGGCGCGGCGGCGGTAGCGGGGGTCGGGGCCGGGGGTGAGCGTTCGAGGCGCGGGTTGGGCCGCTCGCCGGCGCGCCGCCGCCGCCGGGAGGTCAGCAATGGCGACCCGAGCCCGGGGCGCTGACCCCCCGCGTCACCCGGCTGCGCGACCGTGCGCGCGGCGGCGGCGGCTGCGGAGGAGGAGGACGCAGCCCGGAGGGCGCCCGGTCCCCTCCCCTCGGCTTTTGGAAACTTGAGTGCTTTGGGGACAAACGGGTTAACGTGGAGACGGCGGGGCATCGTAACTCTCCCCGCGGGATGAGCGAAGTTGGTAACTTTTCCATTCATGGAAGTGAGAGGATCCCAGTCTTAGCCTCGATCTTTATTAAAGGGAAACTCGCGGATTTTTTCAGACCTGCAAGGTGACTTGTGTCGTGTCCTGCTTCTGCTCCTTGCAAGTGCCTTGCTCAGAGGGAGGGGACACGGAACGCGTGGCGGAGTCCAGGGAATCTGTAAATATGTTTTTAACGTGACAACGCAGTCCGTGTTTACCACGGCTGGCTCTAGTACTGTGCTGCCCTACTCCCTTGCTCTTGTTTTTTTTCCTTAGCCCTGTCGTAAGTTCCAGATAAAAGATGCTTGGGAAGGAATTGACCTTTTATTCCATGATTATTTTGTTGACTGTGGCCCAAGAAGAAGTTATTTATGGGCATACTGATAGCTACGTGGATTAACTGGAATCTTTCAATACAAAATGCAAACTTTCTAAATCTGTTTGCAGAATTTCAACTGTGTTATGCCCTTAGTAATTATACTAATATGGTTCGCATTATTTTCATATTAAGATTTTTCCAAAGGAGTCCACTTTTTGACTTGGCAAAAGGATGAGTGGCATCAAATATGCTTTTAGGATGTTTTTAAGGGGTAGATTTCCATGTACAACTTTCGCTGAATCACTCTTCTTTATGCTTAGTCACTATTTCTCGATTTAGAAGTTTAGCTGGGGATAACATGATGTTTTTGCTAACTTCTTAAATTGCCAACTTGTTTTTACCTGGTCCTTTAATAATGTAAATATACTTTGTTAGTATACTTTAGAAAGAATGAGTCGAGTTTTTTGACTGTTATGAAAGAACTGAAGTTTAAGTGTGTAGTTCTATAACTTTCAATTCAGTATTTCTCTGTCTAGTAAGAAGCCTGTTTTTTTTTTTAAAGGTAAAATGTCCTGATAAAATATGATGTTAAAAAGCAGTGCAATATAAATAATTATTAACATTTTGAGATAATGTATAAAGAGAGATACTTGAAAGTACCAAAGCAGGCGTTGGTTAATGTAGTTGCTGTTTAAACATGTTTCTAAAATGTGACAGTTTTAGTGGGAGAAGGCCTATGGTGTTTTATGTGGTTTGGGATAATCTTTTAAATGTGTTGCTAAAACCATTTATTTTGGTAGAGTTACTGCAGGCTGGGCATTGTATTTGTAGAATACTTTGGTTTAAAGTCTTGTGCCCAAGTTGTATTAATTTTACATTCATTACGATGAAATAGATGAGATACATCTATTTGAACTAGTCTAGTGCTTTTATATTTTAGGTGCTGGATACAACCATATCCCAATTAATAACCAGTCTTTTACCAAAAAAGTAATTTTTAAAAGAGTAAGTAGTGTTAATATTAGTTATATAGTAGCTCCTCATATGACTGCATTTAATGAGCATTCCAAAAATGATACATAAAACTTTTGTATATAAATGTGGTCGTTGCATAAAGCAAAGCACATCTACTGAGAACTGTAAGTTGTATTCATGATTGTAACCCAGCTTTACAGGGTTCCAGATTGTTTTCGAGTAAAAATTGCCTTGAAGTCACAAAGCTGAGTCTTCTTGGAAGCCGACTCCCTCCCCCGTGGTGTGATGCACTACTTAATAAACTGAATTCTACCATTTGGAGAATTTTTAATTCAGGTATCAATTCAAATAGGTTAATGTCTCGTGTATTACATATTTATTAATAATACTTCAATTTCTGATGTAAGCTTGATACTTTAATTTGTTTAGCGGACAACATTGCAAGCAGTTAAAACTTCCACTTTGGAATAGCTGCTACTCATGACCATATTTAGAAATGGACAACGTATGTTTTGATTGTATCATATCTGGAAGGATAAAAAGTTGAAAAAGTTTGCCATGTAATTAGTTCGTTGTATACATAGATCAGAACTAAACTTTCATAAACCCATTTAGCCATTTTAGACTGAGGAATGTGCTTTGAGTTGGGAATTTAAAGATAGTGTTGTTTTAATCTTGTCTCTCAACCTCCATGGCCCTCCATTCGTTCGTTTATTCATTGTGGGGTTGTGGATCAAACCCAGGGCCCTCTTGCATATGCTGCTTGTGTCACTGAGCTACATCCCTGGCTCTACCTCTTTTGAAAAACAATAAAGATGTGCAGCTGAGAACCACATCTGTCGGGAAACATTTAAGACTGAATGCACCTGATCAGCAGATGAATCCACAAGTGTTCATTTTTATTAAGCGCTATTGTTCCTGACTGTACAAAGGATGAGATTTGCCCTACAGGTGCTTATTATTGATTGCTAAATTTGAAATTTCAGTCACAGGCAGACTTACTTGTAATAATGGCCAATTAATTGAACAAGTCTCTCTAGTTCCACATTATCCTTCCATTGGAACAACCTCTTACTGCTTAAGTAGAGTTGTTTTATCTGTGTTAATTGTAATAAGCAATAGGCCAGTGCTACTTCCCTTTCTGAGCTTTTTTTTCCTCACATTGTACCTACACAGGTACCTGTGCTTGTGTAGACGCCAACCCCTGTCTTTCTTTTCGAATCAGGTACCTCCAATAACTAGCCTACAGGATTGCTAAGAGTATTGTAAATAATGGAACAATATAAAGGTAAATGCTTTCTCTTTGCTGTTTTTTTTAAAACAGCGAACAATTCTGTTAATTTTCTTTTTTAATTAAATGTTTTCTTTTTAATGTAAGGCAACTAGATATTAATAAAATGTAAAAAGCATTCTATGAAAAATAAAATTACATAAAAAAATTAGAGACCAACCATAGTTAACAATAGTTAATAGATCAAGGTCATGTTTACCATGGTCTTTAAGAATGGCCAAAATATTACTCATCAAAAAAATCAAACAAGTGTGCCAGAGATGTAACTCAATAGTACAGTGCTTGCCTGGCAAGTACAAGGCCCTGAGTTTGATTTCCAATGCAAAAAAAAAAAAAAAAAAAAATCAAATACTGGCAAAGATGTTGGGGGAAAGGAACCCATCTACATTGTTGGTAGGACTAGAACCTAGTATAACCATCGTGGAGATTCCTTAAAAAAACTAAAAATAGAAATTCCATTTGACCTAGCTATCTCTCTTCTAAGTATTGTCCCAAAAGAGTTAAAATCATCATAATATAGTAATACATGCATACCTATGTTTATAGAAGCACAATTTATAATAGGTAGATCTTGGAAACAGTGTCTGTTGTCAATCAACAGATGAAAGGATAAAGAAAATGAAATTTATACGTAATTATGCACTACTCTGCCATAAAAAGATACACATTAGGCATTCGTAGGCAAATGAAGCAAATCAAGTTACTTTTCTTTGACTTGCCTTTCTTGTTGATTTACTTTTTTTAACAGATGATTTACTCCAGAAATAATACTTGGGATAAATTATGTAAGTGCTCAATAAGTGAGCACACTGACTTTTTGTGGTAAACTTAAGGAGATAATTTTGACTCAGTTTGGTTGTGTAATGCTAGATCTATAAATTTGTGTCTTCATGGACTGTAGTTTTCCATAAAATCAAGAATCTCATCTTATTTTGGAATCCATTTTATTTTGTTGTACTATATTCTTTCACTGATGTATTTATACAAATGAATCTCTAATTGAGGCAGAGATTTGAACTCAGGGAACATGGGAATAAATGAGACAGAATTCGGTCTGTCTTTCACAGAGCTTAGAGTTTTCCTGTGGAGTTAGATATAGAACACAATAGTAATTTTCCTTGTCACTAGTATTACCAAGGAAAATGCAGGGTGTATGAGTGTACATGGGGGACCCCTATCTTGTCTTTGGTGTGCATGGAAATGTGATGAAACAGGCTAAAAGGTCAAGGAAGTGTGGGAAGTGTCTGTATCTTCCATGCAACAATCCTGAGGCAGCACTCTGTTTTGAGTATAGTAGATGACTTTGTTAGCACATTTTAAAACCTTGTTAATTTGTAATTATCACTGTTATGTAGTTTGGTGAATCAGGAACAGTTTTGAGGGTATTCTATATTTTAAATGACAAGATCTCATTTCATTGATTGGGAAAATGTTATAAAACTATTTTTAAGGATTGCTTGTCAGCCACACTATAAGTTGGAAAGGAACTTCTATTAGGAAAACTTAAATCTATTGTAAAGTATTGCATAATTTACAAATAATTTTTAATTTAATGGAGCTTTTTCCGGTAATTCGTATTTAAGTATACATTAATAGAAATATACTTTGGCATGTTAGGATTCTGATTCTAGTGAGGTTTTGTTTTTTTTAATGTTGAATTTTAAATAAGCTTGTCTGAAACTTGTAGCAGCTGTTTTCTACTGGACCCACTGTATCACTATTCAGTTGATAAATCATGGATTGATGTTCTTAAGCAAGCTAATTTCACAGGATTTGTGAAGTTTTTTAAAATTTGTTGTTAGAGATCTTGTTTTAGAAAGATGATAGAACTGATACAGTTTTGAATTTGAAAGTGAGGATCAAGTGTTACACTCCCCAGAATGACTACTGCTATATTTTCTTTCTTAATGCATTTAACTATAACATGGAATGGAACTTGATCCTTCTTTTGTGTATTTTGAGAATTGTTAAATGAGTAATACTTCATATACTGAGTGTCCATATAATTTAAAAAAGTAATTTAAAACACATACGTTCAAAGCAAGATAATGTGCTTTTATAATTAAAAAGACTTTCTTGACCACAAGGGTTAGGGATTAAGTGTTGGAATAAACTACAAGCAAAGTTGTGTAATCTCCATTCCTCAGATAACATCTTAAAATTAAATCTGAAGAGCTGCCTTTTAAAACTTTTATAAGTAAACGTGTCTGTTATTGTCCCGAACACTGATCGGCTAACTATAGATTTAAGTATGACCTCTCTGTCTTAACTAGGTAGATGACCTTTGGTAAGTCCCTTACGCTTTTCTGAACCACAATTTCATCTGGGTTGTAGGAGCAGTAAGTGATTTGACACATGTATAGGAGGATAAAATACGTACATAATTAGCATTCCCTTTTTCTTCTTGTGTAATAAATTAAGTATTGTGCACTTTTGCAATAGATGCCACTTTTGTTTTTTAGATTTTTTGTTTTGTTTTTAATATTCTTACTGAAAGGGGAGTTGTACAAAACAGGCTATGACAATTACTGCTCTGTTTGCATTCGGCTTGAAATTGTAGCAGTTACTATTTTAAAACACTTTTGAAGTGATGTAAAAAGATGTGCTCTACCTGATATGAGCATGTGATGGTGTGTACAGTAATGTAGTATCCCTACAGTTCCTAGAGCAGTGGTCACTTCTGTTGAAACTGCTTGTATATTTAGGTTTCTATCTTAGCAACAGTCAAATTTCTAATCTTAAGCATGTGAGATGAACTGTAGTTGCAAAGTAAGAAAGCTAAATGTTTTCATAACCCAATAATTACGAACAGTAGTTATTTCACTGTGTATCATTATCTCCAAGGGAGTTATTCAGTGTAAGACATAAATCAAAAAAATTGTTACAAAAAAGAAACAGATAATAGTACATTCTTTCCAGTGGACTAAAGTGAAAAATTTCTTTGTATGACTGCTTAAATGGCAAACGTTGGTCATTGACTTGTTTCTTTTACAGTATGAGATTTAACATGTTTGTTTTCACTAATATATAAAATTTATGAGAATAAACTTTTAAAAGTTTTTTTTTTCTTCCCATATTGCAGTCGAGCCCAAGGCCTCTTGTATTTGTTAGGCAAGTGCTCTATCATTGAGCTACATCCTCAGCCCTTTTTTGTTTCTCATTATGAGACAGGGTCTCTTAAGTCTGGCATCAAACTTGTGATCCTTCTTCAGTCTCCTGCTTAACTGATGTAGGCACGCGCCACTATGCCTACCTCTAATTTGTAATTTTTTTCAGTTTAAAAGTAGTTTTTCTGTCAATTGTGTACTTTCTTTTCTTGACATCATTGAACATCAGAATAGCAATTCAGAACTTTGCTGCTTAATCAAGAATTCTATCAATAATGATTGGATAGATTTTTGTTATTTCTGTTTTCAGGAAAAGCTTTAACTGGAGACAATGGTATAGCAATATGGGAAGTAATTATTTTAGTCACTTGGAATCAAGATGGAATTTAAGCATAAATGTATCAGCCCTGAGTGAAGAAATAAGCTATGCATTTGCTTATCTAGAAATTTATGTACTACAGTGTCATGTGGTAATATTGAGCTGAACGAGCTACCTGTGTCTTTTGCGAGTGAAAATAGCCATTGGGGTCCAGAGTTCAGAAAAGGAATGTGGGCCAGATGTATAAAAAAGTTTTTAGAATATGAGTTGTAATTGAAACTTTTGGAGAAATTAAGAGCATCTAGGGAGAATGTGTAGAATGTGTAAGAAGTGATGTGAAACAATAAAGTGATGTGTAACATTTAAGAAAAGACTGAAGAATAGCCAAAGCGGTAAAGGGAAAACTGGAGAATTATAACAGCATGGAAAATAAAGAAGGTGACAGTTAAATAAGAGGGATTAATCACAACCATATGACCAAGGAGGATGGGGTTCTAGAAAAAATTTCTTATTGATTCATAAAGGCTCTCAGTTTTCTTAAGAGATAGTGAAAATAGAACAGAGGGTTGAAAACTGTATATGAGTTTAGGTGTTTTTCTTCTAAAAGTTTGACTGAATAGGAAATAAAAATGGTAGCAAAGGTGGGGTGGGGAGGCATAGGGAGTATTGTTTAACATTTTCCTGCAGTAAGAACAAACCAATAGGGCTGGGATTTATTTAGCTCAGCGGTGTAAGCACCAGACTAGCAAGCACTAAGTCATGAGCTCTATCCCTGGGACAAAAAAAAAAAAAAAAAAAAAAAGGAAAGAGCAAACCAATAAAGGTGGTGAAGATCACAGAAAAAAAAAAAAAAATTCAAAAGGTTGTTACAATTAAAATCAACATACCATGATTATGCTTTCTCTTGTTATAAAACTTTCCTTGATAAAAGTTAAAATTCTAGCTGGGTATGGTGGCACATGGCTGTAATGCCAGCACTCCAGAGGCTGAGGCAGGAGGATTGCCCTGAGTTTGAGGACAGTGCGGCTACATAGTGAGTTCAAGGCCAACGTGAAATACATAGCAAGACCTTGTTTCAAAAAACAAAAAAAGTTAAAATCTTAAATTGCATTTGGTGGTATATGCCTGTAAATGCTTGTGGTTCCCAGCACTGGAGGAGGCTGAAGCTGGGGGCTGGTAAGATTGAGCTCAGCAATGGGGCAATTTAACTAGACAAAAAAAAAAAAAAAAAAAAAAAAAAAAATGAATAAAGGCTGGCGATATAGCTCAGTACAAAGGCTCTGTGTTCTATTTCCTAGAATGGAAAAAGAAAAAACCAGAATAGAAAGTTAAAATTCTAGTTTTACAGTAGGACACACCAACACATATTTGTAATTCTTTCATGTTATTTTATAAATCCTATTTTTCAACTTAAAACACTCACTGACCTCCAGTACTAAAAGTCTGAGCACTCTAAAGTGGTGCACAGCACTTACGATTTGCCTTATTCCTTTCGGGCCTCATCTCGCACAGCTGCCTTGAGTTTTACTGTGATCCAGCAATACTGGGAAGATGAAACATGTTTGTCAATTTAGGATTTTCTTGTACTTGTGTATGCTGTTACTTCAGCCTTGACTGCCTCCCTTCCTTACCAAATAACCTTCTCCTACTGAAGCCTTCTCATCTTTCAAGGCTACTGTGCATTCTTTCCTAATCCCTGCCCATACTAATTATCTTCTCTGTGTTACCATTTTACTTTGTTATGTCAGTCACGTATAATGTGACAAGATTGCTACTGTCTGACCTCCTGCTGTAGCTCCTTGAAAGGAGGCACCATATCATTATGTTACCACACTGAGTATAGTGCCTGGTACCTAGTAGCTGAATATACTTAATGATGAATGGCGATGGGTCCTCAGAAGTAAGTATATTGTTTATAGCCACAGAGCTTGAAGTAGAACTTTTATTTTCTAGGTAAATCCTCCAATAATTTACGTAGGCTAACTGTTTTTAGCCTTTGTAGAATATTAAGTATATACAGCAGAGGCCAGTATGTATATGAGACTTGTATTTGGAAGGAATATAAAAACTTCTAGTTAAGTATATTACTGAAACCACATTATTCTAAGGAATATGATGAGGTCTCTTCAGTGTGATGTATCAGAGTCAATGTAATTGAATTTAAAAAGGCAAAACTAAAGCAGTCTCTGAAATCTAAAGATTTAAACACATCATATCATAGGCATTAGTATAATAAACAGTACTAGAATTTAACATATTTTAACATGTCTTATGGTCATTTTCTTTATAGCATATAAAAGCAATATTTTAAAGTACTGAATTGTTATGAAATGTTGTAAATTCTTTCAAGATGTCTTGATCATATGTAAAATTAACAAAGTTTATATGTACTTTATGTACTATAACCTCAAATAAGCTAAAATATATCCGTGATTTTAATTTATATTATTATGCAATTTTGAAAACTCAAACACTTTCTTTTTATCTTTTCCATTTCAACTGCTAGAGCTGGACTGGCCATTATGGAGGAGGACCTGCAACATTCACACTGTGTGAATTGTGTCAGTAGACGGTGTATGACCAGACCAGAGCCTGGCATTTCCTGTGACTTGATTGGTTGTCCATTGGTTTGTGGAGCAGTTTTCCATTCTTGTAAAGCTGAAGAGCATCGGCTTTTATGTCCACTTGAACGGGTGCCTTGCTTAAATAGTGACTTTGGATGTCCATTTACCATGGCTCGAAATAAAGTTGCTGAACATCTACAAATGTGTCCTGCAAGTGTGGTGTGCTGTACCATGGAATGGAACCGATGGCCTGTGAGTTATGCAGACCGGAAATCATATGAGAATCTAAGCAGAGATGTTGATGAAGTAGCACAATTAGATATGGCCTTGGCCCTTCAAGACCAAAGGATGCTCTTAGAATCTCTCAAAGTAGCCACTATGATGTCAAAAGCAACGGATAAAGTATCTGAACCTAGAGAACAAATATCAGTTAAATCAAGTGTCCCAGAAATGCCACATACTAATGGGTTGGTGTCTGTTGATGAAGAATCTTACGGTGCGCTTTATCAAGCTACTGTAGAAACAACCAGAAGTTTGGCTGCAGCTTTAGATATCTTGAATACTGCCACAAGAGATATTAGCATGTTAAGTACAAGTCTTTGTGGTACCCCAAATGAAATAGGTGAAGAAACAAATGCCAAAGAAAGCTTACAGAATAGAAACTTAAAGAACCAGGACCACCTGTATGAGGAGGAGATAGGGGCAGTAGGTGGAATTGACCATAATGGCACAAGTGAGAATGCCCAGTCTGAACAAAATGGCTCTAGCGATTTATTGTGCGACTTGAATACAAGTTCTTATGGTACTTCTGCTCTTTGTAATGGCTTTCCTTTAGAAGATGTATGTCTACAGGTTAAAGACCACGATCAACAAAGTAACTTAACAAACGGAGAATATGTGGCATCAGATGGGCCCTTGGAACCTTCCAGTTCACTTTCATTAGCAGCACAGCTTAGAGAAGTAATGCCATCTGGTGCTTTGCCTAATGGCACGGTTCAGCATATTCTCATGCCAGATGGTGAAGATGAAGGAGAACTGTGCTGGAGAAAAGTAGACTTAGGAGACTTGAGAAATGTGGATGTCTTGTCTTTCAGTCATACTCCTTCATTCAAATTTCTTTCTAATTCATGTTGGTCTAAACCAAAGGAAGACAAGGCGGTAGATACATCAGACTTGGAAGTGGCAGAAGATCCCATGGGCCTCCAAGGAATAGATCTGATTACAGCAGCCTTACTGTTTTGTCTAGGAGATTCTCCAGGTGGGAGGGGTATATCTGATAGTCGCATGGTTGATGTATGTCACATTGACTTTGGGACACAGACTTTTTCACTTCCATCTGCAATATTAGCTACAAATACAATGGTTGGAGAGATAGCTTCTGCTTCAGCTTGTGATCATGCCAATCCACAGCTTTCAAATCCAAGTCCTTTTCAAACACTTGGACTAGATTTGGTATTGGAATGTGTTGCTAGGTACCAACCTAAGCAGCGTTCAATGTTTACCTTTGTGTGTGGACAGTTATTTAGAAGAAAAGAATTTTCTTCACATTTTAAGAATGTGCATGGTGACATTCATGCTGGACTCAATGGATGGATGGAACAGAGGTGTCCGCTAGCTTATTATGGTTGTACCTATTCTCAGCGAAGATTTTGTCCATCAACACAAGGAGCAAAAATTATACATGACCGCCAGTTGAGGTCATTTGGAGTTCAGCCCTGTGTATCTACAGTATTAGTAGAGCCTGCTAGAAACTGTATGTTGGGATTACATAGTGACCATCTGAGTAGTCTTCCTTTTGAGGTCCTACAGCATATTGCAGGTTTTCTTGATGGCTTCAGTTTATGCCAACTCTCATGTGTGTCCAGATTAATGAGGGATGTGTGTGGCAGTCTACTTCAATCTCGTGGAATGGTCATACTGCAATGGGGGAAAAAGAAGTATCCAGAAGGAAATTCATCATGGCAGATAAAGGAAAAGGTTAGTTTAATCTTAATTATATCAGTCTTTTAATTGAAATAGACATCTAATAGATATGTTGAATTAATAATTAATATTTCATTTAAAAATTAAAATATAAAGCATATGTCAAAATCATACTGAAGAACTAGAATATTTAGAATTGTCATGATCAAAGACTTAGCATAGATGTCCTAGATCTAGATTCTCATCTAACAAAGGCCACTTGTTGTACTTAAGATGATCAGTTCTATACCTCAGTTCCTCTGTGATAGCTGTGGGCTCATGTTACCTAATTTGTGCTCCACCTGAAGCAGCTTCACCATAAAACAATGGAAGAAATAAGGAGAGGCTTTTTTTTCTTACAGTTAATGGCTTCTGCTCTTAGAAGTTTTTTTAAGAACTTGGTTTCATATAGAAGATAAAGAGAGATGAAAAAAAGTTGCAGCTATTGCTATAGTCACATTAGTAAGTGATCAAGGGAGCATGTAGGATACAGGGAACCTAAATGGATGGATGAGGAAATGTTTGGAGAGTAGGGCAGTGGGATTTGATATTGTAGATACAGACTCTGAGTCTAGTACAGACATAGGAGCGATGCATATTGGAAACTTGCACTGGCCTGGCTTCTATGATACCCTACTCTTCTCCGGCACCATCCAGTGGGAACTGGACGGCTTTATAGATATCTTTGACTGAAGGTGTTTCTAAATTTTAAAACATAATATGAAACCTTACATTTTATAAGATGGAAACAGTTTGGATAAACTTCACATTTGGTTGCAATGTTCAAATTTCTGGTTACTTTTTTCTTGGCCCACTTAGGTTTTGTCTTTATTTACCATTTCATTTTTTTCAGAATTCTGCATCTACTACTCTATTTTTGGGAGGCTTTAACCACTGAAAGAACACAAATTATTTTGATTTTTTTTTTCCAAAAGAATTTGTGGTGACAGAAAATTTTACCAGCTATATTTTTTCATTTTCCAGATGATTTGGTGTCTTTTTCTCCTTTGGGATAAGACACTCTTATGTATGACCTCTTTTTGTCCTTACCTGCTACTAGTAACATACTGAGTAAAATATTTTCTTTAGAGATACCACCTAGTCTTCAAATTTAAATTGCCATCATGTACACAGATTACTCACACATCTGTGAACTGGTCGTTTTCTCTACTAAACATGGAGTAATTAAAGTATATGGGGAGTGTTTGTGTCTTTACAAGGTATGATAAAAAGTGTGGTAGACATTGCTGTTAAGTGCCGTTTGACAGCTAAGGTTGTAAAAATATCACAATATGTCCTCATCTACCTTACTGACCACATGGACTTTATTCACCTTATCAGGCACTATACACTTCTGGCTCTTGTCCGAGATCAGAATAACTTTTATGAAGGTAAATGTTTTGAATTGATTCAGGACACCTAAGCAGCCATGACAGCACAACTAAAAACACTTTGGAAAGAGGACTCCCCGCACTACTTCAGAAAGTGGCGTGAACAGTGCCAGAAGTGTGTTCAAAGAAAGGGGGAGTATTTTGACGACAATAGATGATAGTGTGTCTTCTATTGTAAAAATTTTTTAAAATTAAACATTTGCCATTTTTTTTTTATCACAGTTTGTATATATAAGCATTTGACCACCCAGGGATTCATTACCATTCTTTTTTGAGAACTTGTGCTGTGTGGTGAGGCCTTCTCCCAAAATACTGCTACTTTCTAGAGTACCTGCTATGTGACCATGTGTAATCAGTCCTCTCTCTCTATGGGTTCTGTGTCTGGATTCAACCAATTATAGATCAAAAGTACTTGTGAAAAAATTGTATCTGTACTGAACATGTACAGATTTTTACTGTTGTCATTCCTTAAGCAAAACAGTGTAACATCCTGTCATTTGCTTTGCGTTATTATAAGTAATGTAGGCAATTTATAGTTTGTGAGTAGATACACAAGTTCATACAAATACTGTGTCAATTTACATACTGATTTAAGTGTCAAAGTTTCATATCTTCAGGGCATCTGAGACCAAGCCCCCACAGATAACAAGAGACAGTTATATTCTGTATGCATTTGCCTGTTGATGAATTAGCCAGATGCCTAGACATGTCTTGCCCTATCTGTGCTTGTTATCCTGTGTGTCCCCTGATCTTCATTCATGCATCAGTAGCTTTTTGTTTTCGATTGTGAAAATGAGAGAGGGACAGTAGTCATTATCCAACTAATAAGATACTAGGATGTGAAGCTATTTGTTGGACAAAAAAGGAAAGCAGGCCACGTTCTTATCAGCAGTCACATGAACAGGATGGCAGGTGAGTACTATGCCTAGAAACACATAAAATAGGACCTGTTCTATAAAAGTGTTTTTTTAATGTACATTTTCAGAAATATGAAGACACCTGTTTTAAGTATTGCTAAATACCTTTATTATGCATGAAAAGTGGCAAGAAAAACTACCTTTTCTGCACGGTGTTCTAGGATATTTTTAAACATTATGTATGCTGCAACAGGAACAAAACAAAAACCTGGTGAAAAAAAGATAACATTTGTATCTTTTTCTCAGACATTATCTCCAGACTACATAGGGTTCTGTATAAATCATTTGGACAAGAGGAAAGAAACGTATATAGTATATATTTTAAATTGTTCTTAATTCTTGAAGTTAAAAAAAAATTGTTCAATACACCAGATTTGCCATGACTTTTAATGCTGGAATTTTTCTTTTTTTTTCTTTTTTAGTTATTTGTAGAAGTCATTGTCTCATAGAAGTGAGTTGGCTTATAAATATTTGACAGATTTATGTTTAAATGAATCTTTAACTTTATAGCTTACAACTTGAAACTATGTTGGATACTTACGATAGAAATATGTACATTTAGAGCAAGAAGTACATTTTGATCTGTAAATTGACTTATTTAAATCTGATGTAGAATTTTTTTCTAGGTATGGCGATTCAGTACTGCATTTTGTTCTGTTAATGAATGGAAATTTGCTGACATCTTGAGCATGGCAGACCACTTGAAGAAATGCAGTTACAATATTGTTGAGAAACGGGAGGAAGCCATCCCATTGCCATGTATGTGTGTGACTCGAGAACTCACTAAAGAAGGACGTTCATTACGCTCAGTTTTAAAACCTGTACTCTAAAAACTGTAACCTGTGCATACATGGCAAGCACCTGATATAATTTCTTTGTAATATGTGACACTTTATTAATATATTAAAAATTACAACTAGCTAATTTTATTGTCACTGTGTATATATAACGTTTTGAAGTGACATATATTTTTATAAAGTATTGTTTAATTGGAAAAAATTGCCTTAATGTTTGAAATGTGTGACAATTTTGAAACTTGCTGGACAGGGTGATTTAATCTTTAGCTATGACTTTCAGAATTAGTATGTTTCATGGTGTGCATATTTGGTTCTTAAATTTTACTTCTTAAAATTAGCAGGATCCTGACCAAACAATTTGTTCCTCACGTTTTCTGTGGGTTGAAGCCCATGCAATCAAAATGCAAAACTTTTAATCAAATTTTGGCAGCATAGGTTTTTCAGGTAAACATTTTCAGTTATGTAAGTACTCCTGTAAGATGATTATACAGTGCTCCCCTTCTGCAGTTGTTGATGCATATGTGATTTCCAATATATGAAGTATGATCAAAAAACTCGGTGAATACTTACATTGAAAAACATTTATTAAAGGGAAAAGACACAGTGCCATTTTCCCTCTCTTCTGCATCTTAAGTGTCTTTAGTGGGCTGTTTTTGACTGCCTAAATTATTCAAAATGTTAACCTTTGAAGATCATTTGACTTTGAGGAAGAGCCAGATGTTGCCAGCTGTCAGATCTGGTGAATAAGGTGGGTGGGACACATTGTAATGTTTTTATGAATGTGCCTTTCTGTTGGGTGGTAGTTAGCAGCATTCGCTGTATCTTTTCATCACCCCTTGTAAAAAGAGGACTTTGATCACAAAAGAGAACTTCTTGAACTGCTTCAGAAATTGGCAAGAATGATGGAATAAGTGTGTTTCAAGCAAGGGGATTAATGTCAGTGTATCTTACAATTTTAAAAACTTAAACTTTCACTGTATATTTTGATCCCCCAATACTCCAATCACAGTATTTAAAATCACATTTAATGTTTGGGAATGCCACTTAAGATGTTCCAAAAATAATTTACAAAGATATATTGATCTTATGTTCTTACGTAAGTGATCATCAACATCTTTTGTTTTTATTGGATGCCAGGTCCAGAGACTCTGGGCAGGTAAAAACCTGAGAGGTAAAAGCAGGACAAACAGCAAGCCTGTAAATTAACTTGAAACAATTCATGGTACTAGTTATTTGCTAGATATTTAATATATGAGAAGAAAATATACCTCATTTTAAGTCTGAATTTGGCATATTGTGAATACATTTCAAGTATTCAGAATATAAAAGGGCTTAACTATTTTTTCATAAGCATTTAAAATTTTGCTTACTGATGTTTATAAAAAACAACTGTATTGAGACATTAAAAAATGTGAAATTTAATGTCTTTTATGTAAGGTAACAATTGAGCAGAAACGTCTTGATTGACAATCTCTTCTAAATGTTTTCAAGTGAATTTTCTGTACATCTCCATGCTAGAAAGTAAGAGTTGTATCTTTGTATAAAGGACAAAGTACGATAGGCCAATATTCAAAGTCCTGTTCTTGAAGTATTATGTTACTGTTTTTAAATTGGTTTGTACTAAATGAGGTTGATATGGTCATCTTAAAAAGAAATATACATGTTGTATTAGTATTTAAAAGTAAATTGCAAAGATGACATATATTTAAATAATTTGTCTTAGGCAAACTCTGGCATTTGATAAACTGAAATGGTGACACACCACTTTGTTATAAGTGGCAAAACTCATCGTATCCTCCCCAATTTGTCCTTGAGACTACTTGATGGTCCCTGATTCAGAATTCCCATTTATGGCAGTCAGGCTGGGCAGAGGCGTTCCTTGGGCACTAGAGAATTCTGAACCGTTTAAGATTTGTTTTGGTTGAATCAACTAATCAGTTGTTTTGTTTCACTTGTCATTTTTTTGCTTTGTTTTGTTTTGTTTTGTTTTTGTTTTTTAGAAGCGGGGGCTCACTATGTAGTGCAGGCTGGTCTTGAGCACACTTACATAGCCCAGGCTGGCTTCGAACTCACAGTAATCCTCCTGCCTCAACCTCCCAAGTGCTGGGATTACAGACATGTGCCACCGTGCCCAGTTTATCACCTGTTGTTTTAATTAGTAGAATACATTTCGGTGTTTTTAACATTCTTTTTCAACTGTAGGGTGGAATTGCATAAACAATCTGTGCTTCTGTGAAGAAAACTAGAAATAAGGTATCAAGTACTGTACAATATAACTCCATCTTTTAAAGTTTTGCTGAAGAATGTGTGTATGGTTAGAATACCACTACCATTAACTTTATGCTTTATGGTTGTGCTTTATTAAACCCATGATTTTTGAGCTTAACTTGCTTCCACACTGGATCATGAGACATTTAACATTTTTCCATCTTATATTTCTTTTACACATCCTTTGCCTTTTTTTTTTGTTATGCCACCATACTGTTTTGTTAAAATATTTTCTTTGTGCAACATTTGTTAAAGTTCTAATAAAATCATTTTTCTTTTATATGCCTCATTAGTTTGAAAAACTTTCATTTAAATAAAACTTCACTTGTTTGACAAATTCCACACAATTACATGTTTCTGTAATATTAATCTCTGCATGTTCTAGGGGTTGCTGTTTATTATTGCTGACTCAGGTTTTACAAGTAAACGTTAATTTTTAGTACAGTACATATAAAAACTTTACTTTCTTTGCCCCTACCATGTCTTGAAAGTAGTCCTGTCTAGGTTATTGAAAGGCTAAAGAGTTCCTGGCATGATTATTTCTCTAAAACCTGTTATGGGAATCTTCTGTTTTGCCACTTAAGCATGAGAAAGTTTGTATGGTGACCTAGCAGATTGTCATTTGAGGTCCTTGTTGATAGATTTTGCTAGCCCAGCAACCTGAAAGGCAAGCATGAGGGTGCAAGAAAATACATGAAATCAGTTTTATTTTCTGCCTTCTTCCTTAGTGCTACTTAATTTCCCTCCCTCTCTCCAGTCTCTTTCTCTCTCCCCTTTTGAGACTTGTGTATTACTTGAGGTGAAAACAAGGGGTTTGCTTTAAGAATGTCTCTAGGTGATTCTGATGCACAGTAAAGTGTGAGGTCTTAGAGGAAGTTTGGCCTATCCTCTGCTGTGTTATTGGAATGGATATATGTGTGTATGTACATATATAATCCACAATTAAGAGTCACAGTAATTAATAATGATGGTTAAATTACATATGTTGTCAATACCTTACAGCCATGTAAGTACATAGGGTACTATGATTCTTAGACTTGTTGAAAACTTAATATTTACTACTATTTTAAGTTTCACTAGTGTTTTATTGGTGTTTCATTGAAGGTTAGTAATAATGCAAAGTTCATTAGCTCGAATGTTTACCTTGGTTATCTCATTCTCTTGTTGGCCTTGTGTGAACAGACTAGATTTTTAAGATAAGGAAAGAGTAGGAGTAATGAAATACTGGGTTAATAAATCCAGCAAAACATTTATAGGGATCCTTTCAACTCTGTCAATAAAGGATTAGATCTGGTTTCTGGTTTATCAAGTAATATAGATTGTTTTGGTCTTTGACACTGAGCTGCATGTCCTGTGAATGTTGCTACTGCTGTGAGTGTTAGGATCTTAGCAATGTTGAAGATACTTTCAACAAAACTTCCATAACTTTTGAAGATGTAGTTTTTAGTACTATATTGATAAGATTTACTTGTGGGTTTAAGTGTTTGAAACAAAAATAGATTTCTTCATTTTTGCATACCAACCAAAAAAGCCATGAGATTTATTATTTTTTAAGTTCCCTAGGCAATTTACTCAAATACTTTAACAATGAGTTTGTTCCATGCATGGTACACCACACTGGAAAGTGATTTGATTGGAACCTGCAGAATTAGGTAGAAGTGTGGCAGGAGAGTAGTTGGCCCCTTTCCTCTGGACAAAGCTTTTTGATGAAGAGTTTTCTGATAGGTATTTGCTGGTTATCGAAATACTGTCATGGTAGTTTTACTTATGTTCACGAGGCCTAGGGGCCAGAATGTGTAACTATGCCTTTAAGTTCCATTGTGTTTAAAATAATTTACTGATGAGGTTTGTTAGAATTTATCCAAATCTGTTTTTCAGAAAAAAAAATATGAGTTGAATAAAAGAATGTTCAAATGATATAATTTCTAAATACCAGGAAAAAAGGAAAGATTTCTTTTTTCACCTTTTACACACTTATTTCCACTTATGGACATTGGTCACTTCCCCACTTTACTGATGCAGGAAAGAGAAAGTATATTTAGATGAAGTGAAATTATTTTAGTAAAGTGTGTTTAGAGTAATATGTTCCCAAATGTTACTGAAAAGAATTTTAGGGCAGTTGAGAAAGGAATGAAGTATGCTATATTACTCTGAAAGTCTCTTGCTAAAGTAGGCATTTTGTTACAATTTATAAGAATTTCATTGCATATGTGACTGACAAAATTTTATAAATTCATTATACATAAATATGACATATATAATCTTCAGAGTTGGCCAGTACGTCTTGAGATATATTAATGTCTCAGTTACCTTAGTACACTTCACAAATGTTAGTACATTTCACAACTGATATTTTATATTCAGATTGGTATTCCAGGGTATTTTATAGAGAGTGACTTTGTAATAAAGTACAAACAAATGGATAATAAGGAAGATTCATTGACATACTGTAGAAGTACATGAAAATTCACTGATGCCGGTCTTTTATATGCTGGATTGAAACTTTTTTACTATGAAGAAAAGCATTTCTGAAAAAAACTGACAGAAATGTTTTTCTTTTTTTCTTAAACTAACACAATGATCGCTTCCAAAATCACTGTATTAGCCTATTATACAAACATTGTAATAGGAAATGATTTTTCCATACATACCCAATTCTAATGATTGGTAGTAATAGTTCATGTGTTTGAAAATAATGAAATGGCATTTCTGATGAATTCTTGGGGCAGAATTCGTCAGGTCAGGTTGTTTCCAAAGAATGTCATCAGGTTTAATTTTTTATCTTTTTCAAGTATTAAACCATTAGAAGTGTCCCCCCCCCCCCAGGATCCTTAAAGAAAATAGCTTGTTAAATGCAGTCAGTCTTTTGTTCTGATAACCTAAACTTAATGGTTTGGGTCAGTAATTTTAGGTATAAGTTGTGTAACTTGTCTAGCTTCCAAAAAGTCCCTTTGAGCTGACCAATGAAAAAACAATCGTAGTTTTGAAAATTTGAACTATAACTGCATGCTGAATATTTTAACCATATTAGTTAATTCAAATAAATTGAGTACTATATATTTTTTGAGAATAAAATTACCCAATGAATAGCTACAGGGTGTCTTTTAATTCAAGTAATGGCTTAAAATTTCTTAATTTTTTAATAAGGATTTTGATATAAGAAGAGTGTCAGTTCCCTCCAGTATTCTGTAGCATTGTGCAAATGGCCCAGACCAACATATGAAATTGCTTTGAGTGATTAATAATTCAGGGGAATTGTAAAGGTTTTTTTTTTGTACTTAAAATGTTATATTTGCATTGCTCGTTTGATTGGTGTTGAAAGCACCAGTCAGTACTAAACACCTACCATTTCTGAAAGGTAATTGCACTGTCTCAAGCACTTACCTCACATTTGTTTAGTTTCTAATACATCTTTTTCCATTAATAATTGCATTAGACGAAGGGGAGTAAAAATCGTCAAGATGCAATATGTATAAAGATACTAATAAAAATAATTGTCTAAATTCAAAAAGATGGTAGGCATTGAAAAAAATAAGTGAATGAAGCTAGACACAAAAGGCCACATATATGATTACATTTATATGAAATATCCAGAATAAAAAACTTAGAGACAAATCAGGTAAGTGGTTTCCAGGAGAGAGAGGCGTGATCACTTACTGAGAATGAGATTTCCTTTGGAGTGATGAAAAATACTTAGAACAAGGGAGTGGTTGATGGTTGCACAACATTATGAATGTATTGAATGTCACTGAATTGTACGCTTTCAAGTGGCATTAAATATATCACTAAAATTTTATTAAAAGGATGTTGGTATTTGAAGTTACCAAATCTAAAAAGTACAGTGTTACTGAGGCTTGAAAAATGTACAACTATAGTTTTGAATTGATAATATCAGTCATGATAAATTCACTCAATTAAAAAGTCCCAATAAAATTCATGAGTCCTGTCATAGAGGTACTGATGACTACAAAGGAAATCGATAATTCTTTACTGTTTCCTTATAATTAATGCAGCTGTGAATGAGTACTCAGCTTCTGTGTCAGTGTGTGTTATTCACATTATTATGCACATTATCTCACATTATGATTTCTTGTACAATCACTTCTAGAAAGATACATTTTAAAAATCTTGAAAAACGCATAATTTTCTGGTTTTTTAAAAAGTTTTATATGTTGTGCACTTAATTATGTATTAGATAAAAATAAAATGATGCATACACTTTGGACTCTTACTTTCTTGTGGGAAAAAATCTACTTCACTATTGAGATTGGTAAGGACCTCAGTCGCTTAGTTTCTCATTTTGATTTGGTGAAGTTGAAGCTGAATATGATCAAGTATATGTATCAGGCTAGGTGCTATGAAGGCTTGACTCTGCAAGGTCGTTATACTCCTAAAGCTTCTCAGGTAATTTATGTTTTTCTACCTCTTATCATCTAGTAACTGCCAGATACATGGCCACTTTGATTATGTGTTCAATGTGCAGTGACAGAGGTAGCTGGGGAAATCTTACTGGTATTCACAGAACAGGTTACCTTATTCACTTAATTGTTAAAATTCTATAGTTACTGTAAGATTACTTTTTGGTCAGCATTTATGTGGGACACAACTGTCTTTATATCTTTTTGCCCACCCATAAAGGAGTTTGCATAGACATCGTCCCCAAGTAGTTCTATTACCGGTTCTCCACCCATGTTCAAAATCCCTGACTGTCAAGCCAGACCATTTGCTATCTAACTCAGCATCTGGTCCTTTCTACTTTCACATAACTTGCACAACTCTGTGTACTCTTTGAAGTTTTCCCCATTGTAAAGATTTCTTCTCAGTACTCTCCTTCAAGGACATTCCTCCCTGTCAAAAAAAGGGTTCTAGTGCTACAGCTGCCCAATTTTGTATTTTTGTACAGAGCCATCCCTTGTAACCCATGACCCAAGTCATCTCTTCCTTTGTCAACTAATAGCCAACTCCTAAGGCCAAAAGTCCAGGATGGGAGAGGAGGGGTAGGAACCAGGGGCATTTGGGTCACTTCCTCATGTAATTTACCCATGCCTTCAGGACCTGATTGAGTTTGTTCATATATATATACTTCAGTTTGATGATGCAATGCTGTTGTGTGTGCTTTATGGGGCAGGGTCAAATAATTCATATGACATGCTCAGATCACACACTTGGTGATTCATAGTAAAGCATTTAGTTTCTACCAATACTCACTAGGAGGCCAAAAACGAAGTTATCTGGCAGGCTTTGCTCCAAAATTCTAAAGCCTGTAAGGACTTACTTTAG